AAAATATTGGTGTTACTGTCAGCGAGTCTGTTCCAAATGGAATATTTTACAAAAATATCAACTTAATTAAGAGAAACTCACCAATTATCAAGATGTTGAAAGACATGTTGTATTTCAATAATTAAACTGACAACATTCAATATCTGAAATAGAAAATGAATGTAAAATTTACTAAATTAAAAAAAAAAAAAAGGGATATTTCGCTACCAAACAATTATAGAACTGCATCCCTTTCAGTATGTATATAGATATAATATGAAATGGGGTTTTAAGTCCTACTTTTCTGTACCTGATTGGGTTAACGAAGACAGTATGCAATGTACAATGTGGGCAATTTTTGACGATTAAAGGATTAGCTTCCTCATTGTTAATTTCCCCAATAAGCAAGCACATCCCTTAAGGTGGCACGAATTAAGTAAGGGTCACTTATCAATCTTAGAGGGCAAGGTAATTTGTTGACTGATAAAGAAGACTCACCATTTAACAGCTCACTGGAACATAATTTGATATCTATAGACCAACAAGTTTCTAACTGATGAGAAGATTTCATACCTGTAATAAATCATTTATTCAAATTAAATAGCAAAAACAGGGATGTTTCTTATTATTTTATGCAACTGACTCCACTAAGAGCATACATGATCTGACAAATTTGTTATTCATGTCCTGTACTGGGCCATTTAGTATTCAACTCACAGTAAGTAATTTATGTATCAAATATTGTGTACCATATAAGATTTCCTTGCTGTATGTCAGGAATTGCAGGGTATCTATTGTTTTAAATGGACTAGTAGATGTAGTGTCTTACCATTTTTAAAAGTACTTTGGATTGGTTAGCATAAATCATGACAACTCTGGATGGTCATTCACCAAATATGGATGAAGTTTGTTAAATCAGGGTTAGTGGATTCACCTGCAAAAAAAAAAAGAAACTTAACATTAACATCTGCATTTGAATCATGTCAAAAGTTTTTTTCACTTGCACCAGACTCTGAAATATAACAATTAAGGGACTACATCCCTTCAGTAACAGAAAGTACCTTCACAAAAATTCACAAGATTCCCCCTTGCTTAAACCTAGGCTTAACAGTTTGAATACCTGAGAAATAATTCAAGTAGTTTTCAGAAAAACCAGAAAGTTAATTATAAAAAAAAACTCACCAATATATATAAAAAAAAAAGATCTATTTGTCAAAAGCGATTTAAAACTTTGCATACTAATAACTTCTGTGAACTGCTGTCACTGTAAAAAGAATAATAATTTTTAAAATACAAACAACATTGTGTCCTGAATTGTTTCAAAAAGTAAAATTTTACTAAGTATTAAAGGGCTGTCATACTTTTCTCATAAATCACAAGACAAAAATCTGAATTCTTACCATAGGAAGCTTGCATAGATATGACCTAATAACCATCCCCACCTCCTAATTCAAAACCTGTCTACCCTCACCCCTACCTTAATGTCACTAAACTAACAATTATAGGACACCATCCCTTTAATACCCCCACCCCCCTATTTCTAAACCTGTCTACCCTCATCCCTACCTTAATGTCACTAAACTAACAATTATAGGACACCATCCCTTTAATACCCCCACCCCCCTATTTCTAAACCTGTCTACCCTCATCCCTACCTTAATGTCACTAAACTGACAATTATAGGACACCATCCGTAATACCCCTAGCCCGTGATTGTAAACCTGTCTATCCTCATCCCTACCTCAATACCAAATATTCTATAACACCACCCTCTCTTTGATACCTCCACCCCCTAATACTAAACCAGACTACCGTCATCTCTGAAGGGTACAAATTACTTTTTTTTTTATTTGCATAAGTCTTTTGCTCTATAGGCACTCTATAAATTGCACAGCAGTTTAAAATTTTGTATAACACCCATTAACGTATGAAGTATGTAAAGTTTCTGAATAGTATCATTAAACTAAATGATTCCTGAATTGTAATTTAAATACCAGTGCTAAATATAAATACAAACAAAAGTTGGCCATAATGATACCCTCGATATCTGCCATGCTATTTTTGAAGTCATGAAATAACTTGTATTTGCCATATTTATTCTCGTGACATTGAGTCTACATTTTCAAGGTCACGCGCGTAAGAATCCGGATTGAGAAAAGTCCAAACAAACCTCGAGTAATATACCCCAACCGAAGTACACTTAAGCTCTGACCTGACAAATTTCCCTCCTTTGAAAACTGCATGGCGTTCACGATTATCATTCTTCATAAATAATTTAAAGAGGTTGTTAAGTGATTTTTATGTGTATCGGGCACATTAATAGCATCGATTTGCAACATTCCAATCAAAGTGACTTACGTTACATAATACTGATATATTATAATATATATAGGGTCTTCGCTATGGTGACGTCATCTAAAACAGAGTTTTTGTGGAATTGCAGGAGTCATATACGCCTGAATGAAAATTGGAATGTTGCAAATTGATGCTATCAGTGTCCCTCCCTTATACACATAAAAGATTTAGAAAAACTCTTTACAATCTCTTTAACAAAACGGTTGGTAGAACTAAATGAAATGAGCTATTCAAGGTATGCATGCTTCTGATTAACTTCTTTTTTAGTGCAATTCCACTGAAGTCAAACTGTGCGTTTGATAACGTCAATTTCACAAAGATTGTAGATATTATTAGAAGATTCGGCAATAGTGACATCAAAAAAAAGTCTAGTTTTAGTGGAATTGTACACATCGATGCTATCGGTGTCCCTATTTCTAGAAAACCCGTTTATATTGCTTACAAGTTTGAATGAAGAAAATGGCTTACCTTCTTGTGAATAAGTGTCCAATATTTGTCACTCCTCCCAAAAGTGTCATCGTTGAATCCATTATTTTATAGAAAAATCACAAAATAATCTAAAACCATCCAGAAAAATACAGGTAGTATCAAATAAATCCCAATCCACAGATATTAGTCAAAGATTTAGCACTGAATATATCGAAATAATTCAAAACCATCCAGAATCCAATACAGAATATATCATAAGTCATAAGTCAACTAATAAGACCGAAATCCCGCTCAGAAATGCGCACCCTTGGATATGCAAACGATGATTTTACGTTAAACTCCTCCCACTTTTTGACTGACAATTTGAATTTCAGCCAATCAGCAGCCAAAATTATGCATCCACGTGCTCTACGTGTCAACTCTTCCCGCCAAAAAATTGTTTTCAGTTTCTGATGGTTTTAAACTGTCACCTTCTCGTCAATTTTGTGAATGTTGATAAATTATTTAAGAAAATCATCCACTAATATTTCAGCGTGGCTGGTTGAAAGAATTTTGAATAGAAGTACTGGACTTAAAAATCCTTTGTAAAGTCTAAAACCTGTTCAAAAATCTTTGGATCTACGAATAAAGTATATTTCGTTAAGTTACCGAGGGGAAAAAATTGCCAAATTCACACGTTTGTGAAGTAAATTACACGGAAGGGGACCTTTAATTCATGATAGAACAAATAACATGATTGCTAAATTCGCGCCAAATATTACCCCGAAATTTAAAGGGATATAGCGTTACTGTTACAATTAAATCACCATTATTCAAGTTTTAGACCTAAATCAGGCTACCCTCAAAGAAGTAATTAGAAAATTTACTGAAAAGCTTTGACTTTATGACTATATAAAATTTAATGTGGCAATAAATTCTGGGACGAAAAAGTGCAAAAGATACAAATATGATTGCAATAGAACAGATAAACACAGTAAATTTAAAGATAGTGGATCAAATATGGCCATATTCGGTATACGGTTGGAGATCCTCATTGTTAGATCATTCAGGCCTGCCGACAAAGTCGTACGAAAATCGAAAATTTATAATATTTATGTTTATTAGTGTAAAGTTATGTTAGTGAACTAAATGTTGGATAATCCTACATCGAGATCAAAGGGCGACGTCAAATTTTAAGTTATAATATCACTGCAATTGATGTGATTTAATTATTAGTGGTCACTGACAAATAACCAATCATGCCCCTGGAATTGAGAGCAATATTAAAAGTCCCAGGAGGTTCTATCAGTTCCCGATATCAGGATTCCTTCCCCATTCCCCCTCATCTATTCCACGGCTTTGGTAATTGTGTAGCTTGCCATTCAACAAGAGGCTTCTTACTAAAGGCTCAGTGTTAGACCGTTAGGTTTTCATACAGCCATATTCAGTTGGCTTAACTAAATGCTAAGGGAAGTCTCTGTGGTAGTTAGACACTGGTTGCTACGTTAGCGAAATTGGAACAATGTGGAAAATAATGATTTGAGTATTACTGTATTATCTTTTCAAAGCAAAAGACCGACATTTTAGGCGCAAGACTTCAATTGAGGGCTCTGTGCCCCTTTTCCAAATTCTGGGTTACCCCCGTTTTCAGAATGTATAGATTTACCCCTGTCAATCAATTTCCCCCTGTTGATGGTGATAATAAACTACTTAATAATTAAATCATATCATTTGATTGTCAAAATTAGTAAAATGACCCTACAAGAAATACAATTTTTTTCCGAATTATTCATTCGTCGTCATTCCCAAATTTGTGCACGGCCTTTGACAGAATTGAGTCTCGTTTTATGTCTTTCTGTCCCAATTCAGATAGTTCGGAATTTTACACCCACCAGATCTCGATGAGATGTTATTCATTATTACCTGTCGAGCCAACTAAGGTGTCTATCTAGTCCATGCTGCACCACAATGGTTTACAAATTAATACAAAGACAAAGGTTGTCTTGATCTTTCTCCCTTCTAGATTAATTGACTACCCTTATTTTCCGATGCACAAAACATTAAATTTAGCAAAACAGACACATTTGAAGTGTCATAGGAAGAACGTGGGAAATGCTCAAGAGCTTGGTGGAGGGGTTGAAGCAAGTTGTAAGTGATGTGGAGGAAAATCGAAATGCACGTTCAATACGTACCAGAGTTCTGTATAAAAAAAAACTGACGCCGACCGAGAATTCAATTACTGTGAAGACAGCAAGCTTATGGCACGTCTAACCTCCCAACAACGTGAACACGCCATCGGACGATTAAATTCTGGACAACGTTCTCAAGTCAGTGCCAATGCATTTAATTGGAGTCTACGAACCATTGAGAGATTTCGGTTTCGTTACAACACCACCAACAGCACTGATGACCGTCCACGTAGTGATCGTCCCCGAGTCACAACACCAAGACAGGATAGCTTTATTCTGCAGCAACATCTGCATGACAGATTCATCACAGCGGCACAGATGGCAGAGTATGAGGGTGGCGAAGAAGAAGTGAACGTTTTACAGAACAGTGTATGGTTGAAAGAGACCTGTGGGGAGGACCAATCTTGGCAGACAGATGGCAGAGTACGAGTGTGGCGAAGAAGAAGTGAACGTTTTACAGAACAGTGTATGATTGAAAGAGACCTGTGGGGAGGACCAATCATTCGATTTGTTCAACCTTCGGTTGTTCATGTGTTACTGTAACAAACTGTATGCACCGTTACAGACAGGCAGGGAACACGTCTTACGGGCATAAAACGGGCAGAACATAACCTGTATTTGCGTACCTTGCTTCTT